ACTAAGTTCGGTCTATTCGAGTATTTAGTAATACTATTTAGCCTTACTAATGCTCTAGCTACCTTCTAGCGAATAATTAATAACGTACTCAGGGAGTACCTAGATATCTTCGTTATAGTATACCTAGACGATATTCTAATCTTCTCGGAAAACCTTAAAGAATATAAGAAATACGTCTACTAGGTACTAAAAATACTTTAAGATACGAACCTCTTAGTTAACCTAGAAAAGAGCGCGTTTTATATATAAGAAACCGTCTTCCTCGGACACACGATCCGACTAAACGAAATCCTAATAGAATAAACAAAGATTAATATAATTAAAGAATAGCCTATGCTAATAACGCTTAAGGAAGTATAAGCGTTCGTGGGATTTGCGAACTATTATCGACGCTTTATACGCGACTTTGCGAAAATCGTAGTATTACTCACGGGACTTACTAAGGGAAAGGGAGAATTTAAGTAAGAAACGGAGTAATAAAGGGCATTCGAAGGATTACGAGATACTATACTATTAAATATAGTACTTATAACCTACGACCCCGAAAGACTACTCGAATTAGAAATAGATATATCGGACTACGCTATAGGAGTATAAATTGGTTAACGAGATAACGATAGTAACGTACGACTAATTATATTCTTCTCGAAGAAACTCCACGGCGCGGAACTAAACTACCTTATTTACGATAAGGAATTCCTAGTAATTATAGCAGCTATTAAGGAATTCAAGCACTATATGCTAGGGACGAAGTTTATTACTAAAGTTTATACCGATTACTAAAATATCTCCTACTTCGCGATAATATAAGAACTTAGCGCACGATAAATAAGATACGCTAAATTCTTAGCCGATTACGATATTAAAATTATCTATCGGAAAGGTTCGGAAAATAATAGAATAGATATACTTAGCCGCCGACTAGACTACGATACTAAAGTACTAAAAGCTAAGGGCTAGATATTTTAATAAAATAACAAAGGAAACTACGTATAAATAGCACTTAACCTTCTTATATTTAGAGTAGAAGCAAACACTATATACTACGATAAAATATTAGAATAGGTATTAAAATATAAAAAAGAAATACTTAACGATTACGCGATAGAAATAGGAAAAGGACCTACTAGGAATAGACTACTCTGGATACTACCGCCGCTACGCGATGAAATCTTGATTAATATTTATACGCATCCCACGGTAGGATATTAAGGAGTTAGAAAGACTCTTGAACGAATACGACGAACGTACGACTACTAAGGAATTAAGGTAGATATCGTACGTATCGTCGGATAATATAAAGATTATACGCGCAGTAAGGCTACACGGCACAAGCCATACGGAGAATTAAAGCTACTATTAGTGCCTTTAAAGCTATAGGAATCGATAGCCTTCGATTATATTACGAAGCTACCTAAATTTAAGGAACCAGGATCTAACGTCGAATACGATAGTATATTCGTTATCACGGACCGGATAAGCAAATTCGAATATTTCCTACTATACTAAGAAGCAACGGATATAGAAATACTCGTATATATAATGCTTAAACATATCGTGGCTAACCACGGCCTTCCGGAAGAAATTATTTCGGATCGAGGAACGATATTTACCTCGAAGTTCTAGCAAGTATTAATAGCTTAGCTTGGGACTAAATATAAGCTTAGTATAGCTTACTACCTATAAACGGATAGATAGATAGAAAGATTAAATTAGATATTAGAGTAGTACTTACGGTACTATATTAACTATGAGTAAGACGATTGGGTCTCGAAGTTACTACTCGCCTAACTCGCCTATAATAGCGCACCTACGGAATTAACTAAAATCTTACTATTCTACGCGAACTACGGATACGAACCCGAGTTCGGCAATAAAACACTAAGGGATAGACCTCTTGCTAAAAAAGCTATACTTAAAGTAGATTAATTACGCTTACTATATAAATATATAAAGAAATAGCTCGAATTCGTACGTACACGAATATCGAAGTACTATAATTAGAAAAGATCGAAGGGACCGATCTTTCGGAGGGGAGATATGGTCTACTTACTACGTAAAAATTTCATAATAACTCGACCTTTACCGAAGCTCGATTATAAAAAACTTAGACTATTTAAAATTAACGAAGTTATCTTAGATAGTAATTACAAACTTTTACTACCCTTAAGTATGAGGATATACCTAGTTTTTTATATTTTATTACTCGAAAAGGCACTATAAAACGCAAAAACAAACTACGAACTAGAAGTTCTCGAAGAACTCTACGAACTAGAACGGATACTCGATAAACAAACTATCGACGGAGAAGTTAAGTACCTTATTAAATAAAAGGGCTATGTAAATAACGAAAATATATAGGAACCCGCTAAATATCTCAAGGATTGTCGGTACCTCGTGAAGAACTACTACTAGTAGCTCTAGCTCTAGATAAAAGGACTACGTCTATAAAATCATTACCTAAACCTAAGGACGACTAGTTAGGATTGTTAGGAAGACCTAAGAACCTTAGGTTATTCTTAATCTAGTGCTTATAACTATCTAAAATAGGAATAGCTTTAGCGGGAGCTATAGATCCCGAGTTATCCCGCTTATCCTCCTTAAGACCGGCTAAACCACGGCGAACGGAGTCGTTAATACGCTCTTTTATACGTCGACGAATCTTCCGTATCCGCGTTAAACGACTAATAGCGGTCGCGAGCTTAGTTTGAAGACGAAGGAGAGCCTCTTTAGCTTTCTCTTCGTCTTTCTTAAGCTTCTCACGCTATTTAAGCAAACGATTTACTAAAGAAGGTTAGGAAAAGGAGTAAGAAAAGAATAAATATATACATAAAGACGCTATAAACGTCCCGTCGCAAGGACGACCGCGACGAATACACTCGCTATATTTCGAAGACCTATTATCAAAACGACAAGGCTTCTGATTCTTGAAATAATAGGTGCACGGCATATCTACGTTAGTACCGTCATAAGCAATAGCGTAAGCAAGCTTTAGGCGTTCGCGAGTCTTTCGAGCAACGTTAGAAGAGCGACTAGATATAGCGTTAGTATATGCAAAAATGATAAAGGAGAAGGAATTAATAGGACTCACGAGTATAGACTAACGATTAGTTTTAATTAATTCTAGGGATAGAATCTCGGGAGGGGAGATATTATATTACGACCTAGTATACGACCGTATACGCCTCTCACGTACACCCTACTTTTTCCTCTAATTATACTACCACGCATGAAGTATAGCTCGCGACCTTACTATAAGCCTACGCTCTAACATCAACGTATAGCTTACTAGATCACGACGCTCCCGTAAGCCCTTACTTTCACAAACTAGTATATAAGAAGCTACGCTTTACTATAGTTAGTCTTTACCCAGCTCCTTAGCTATCAATACAATTATCTACGCAAGATCCACTATCTCGCACATAGACTATGACCCGACCGCTTAAGTTAACGATATCCTAGTGTACTTAGTTTAAACCCGACTTCTATTCTATCTACCCGGTAGCTAGTCTAGACCCGAACGTCATACTATTATTCGACTAAAGGAGTTTTTATTTCTTAGCTTATATTAGAGAGAAGATAAGAGCCGAAGCTATAAGATATATAAGCTTATATAAGACGCTATACGATATAGGTTAAGTATAAGCGGGCCGATAAAGACGGCCCTTAGGGATATAACGGGTAGGGAAGGTAGACCGGAAAACGGAGAAGTATATTATTCGAGTTAAGCGTTACGGATAGTAGATAAGCTCTTCCTAGTATCGGAAGGGAAGCTATAGGCACGATACGAGTAGTATATAACGTATGCTATACGAGTAGTAAAGTAGGCAAAGGCTAGTAGGACAGAGGTTATTACGTTAGGATTACTCCGCCGAGTATCGGGCTTTCTCTATAATTAGGGATAATAGAGGGAGAAGGAGCCTATAGATAAAAGGGCGTTAAGGCTCCGACGGGAGGTAGTTAGGGAGAAGTACCCCGATACGATTAGTAGCATGGCGGACCTCGCGGCGATATACTATAACTAGGGACGATATAACGAGGCTAAAGGTATTTATCGGGAAGTACTAGATCTCCGATAGGAGGTACTTAGGGAGAAGCACCCCGATACGATTAGTAGTATAGCGGACCTCGCGGCGACGTACTATAGCTAGGGCCGATACGACGAGGCAGAGACGCTAAAGAAACGAGCACTAGATCTCCGACGGGAGGTAGTTAGGGAGAAGTACCCCGATACGATTAATAGTATAGCGAACCTCGCGGCGACGTACTATAACTAGGGCCGATATAACGAGGTAGAGACGCTAAAGAAGCGAGCACTAGATCTCCGACGGGAGGTAGTTAGGGAGAAGTACCCCGATACGATTAATAGTATAGCGTCCCTTACGGCGACGTACTATAGGTAGGGCCGATACGACGCGGCTAAAGGTATTTATCGGGAAGTACTAGATCTCCGACGGGAGATAGTTAGGGAGAAGCACCCCGATACGATTAAGAGTATAATAGATCTCGCGGCGACGTACTATAACTAGGGCCGATACGACGCGGCGGAGACGCTAAAGAAGTAAGCACTAGATCTCCGACGGGAGTTAGTTAGGGAGAAGCACCCCGATACGATCAGGAGTATAGCGGACCTCGCGGCGATATACTATAACTAGGGTCGATATAACGCGGCTGAGACGCTAAAGAAGCGAGCACTAGATCTCCGATAGGAGGTACTTAGGGAGAAGCACCCCGATACGATTAGTAATATAGCGAACCTCGCGGCGACGTACTATAGCTAGGGCCGATATAACGAGGCGGAGACGCTAAAGAAGCGAGCACTAGATCTCCGACGGGAGGTAGTTAGGGAGAAGCACCCCGATACGATCAAGAGTATAGCGTCCCTCGCGGCGACGTACTATAGGCAGGGCCGATACGATAAGGATAAAGAGATTTGTCGGGAAGTACTGGATCTCCGACGGGAGGTAGTTAGGGAGAAGCACCCCGATACGATCAGTAGTATGGCGGACCTCGCGGCGACGTATTATACGCAGGGCCGATACGATAAGGATAAAGAGATTTCGGTTAAAGTACTAGATCTCCGACGGGAGGTGCTTGGGGAGAAGCACCCCGATACGATCAGTAGTATAGCGGACCTCGCGGCGACGTACTATAGCCAGGGCCGATACGACGCGGCTGAAGTGCTTTATAACACTGCCCTAGACCTTCGCCGGCATATTCTTAGTGAAGATCACCCGCACACGGCTCAAAGCACCATGTACCTGGCCTCCACACGGGAGTCGTTACAGCAAATGCGGTCCCGTGATTCAGAAGAGCCAAAGCTGCGCCATAGATTTTTCAGGGAACTTGCGCAGGCTATGAGTTTTGGCAAAGGGAGGTCCCACTGAAGTAAGGGACCTAGTTTTATCTTGGGGAAACTCCTTAGAGTATGTACCTACAATACCGTATGTGCACCATGTAAGCTGCTAATCAGCCACTAGTTTTGTGATCACCAATGAGGCGTTTATGCAGGAGTAAAGGTACGCTTTAGTCGCCGTACTCGGTTTGTTTTGATATGAAATTTATATGGAATATCTCTAGTTCCCGAGTCTAATTCTTTATCGTATGGACTATCACTGCTATAACGTTCCGTTATAAGTCTTCCAGAGTATATTGAGTTACCCGTAGATGCCTGCTGCGCGTCACGCTCGGTATCGCTCTAATTCGGATGTTTCAGTAGACATCGAGACGCATTTAGTGTACTCACGGCCCATTTCATCCCAAATATTACTTAGTGAATATACGTTAAATATTGCGTTTTCTTCCAAGACGTGAAGGCAAGCATGGATTGTGGAACAGGTGCGGCGATGGCTGTCAGCTCTTATCTCAAGCTTTTATTAGAATCAACGGGGAAGCTATCGTTGCCTGCAGTAGCTGGCGCGTGCACTATTTTAAGTTAACGAGGAGCAGGGATAAGAGCCACCCCCTTCCATACCCCACCCCCGACCCTTGCGCTTCATGTGCGGTGGGGACTAATAATTTTCTTGCACCCTCTAACAACTGATCGACGCTCAAGGATACGCCCGTTTTGTGGACGGTTATGTGATATAACGGTATAGTGGATCGTCGCTACGTGGATGATAACCTCCAAAAACGGAGATCATGGGCATCTATTCTGGATGCCTGTTCTTCCACTTCAAGCTGCCAGCATCCTGACAGCAAAGAGTCCTGAGGGGCTGATTAGTAGCTGGGTCGGTGACGACCAGCGAATCCCGGCTGTTGTATGTTTGTTTTGTTAATCTTGTCCCCCTTTTTGGATATGGAACTACTACGGGGACCTCTCTCAGGCCGGGGCTTAGTGGCTTTGGTCAAGAGGCGTACTGTTAGATCCGTGTAATGTAACTTTTGCACTATCGGTAGAACAGCACCCCTTGGTGACTTTGTGCGCAACAGAAACTTCCGAATCACGACGCCTAGCCTTTGACTCTCTGTTCCCTTACTTCTTTTCGCTTATCTAACGCCCGTCTTTATGAACCGCCTCGACGAGAGTCTATAGATTTGTCACCACTAGTTATTTGTACACGGGAATCCTCTATCTTAACCATATGCGACTCTGGAGTGATTTTATCATGATGTCGCGCACATCACCAAGACATGAGACTATTTGATTGTGATAGCGGCAGTGGTCCTGAGCTGACCGAGTCAACCTATCTCGTGCTTAGCACACGGGCTATAGTTCAGTCAAAAATCGCAACACGAGCCTTCCTGGATCGCCTGCCTATCTCTCCACGGCCCAAAGGACCCGAGGCATCACGTCAACGTTCAGCTCAAGAATGCCGCAAAGAGTAGGGGAATAGTATAAAGTAGACGAATGCGATAAGACAGACGAATACTGCAAGTATCGAGACTGTGCCTACATAAGCAAGAATAAGACAGCGGTGGCTGTGATTCCCAATCCAAGAGAAGGCAGCATCCCCATGTGCGTCGCCAGGTCATCTTCATCATCGCTATCGTCCTCTCCCTCGCCAGGGCTGGGCCGGGAGGACTCGTCGACGTCCTGATTTTGGAACTCCTGGAGCTCCTGGGCTGCTGCGTCCACGTCAGGACACTTGCCATCCACGAGGTCCTGCATTGTGGATCGTTTGCTGACGCTGCCGTCCGGTTTGTAGGAATTGCACTCGATATTCTTAATACTACGGCGCGAGTACAAGACGTGGGCGAACATGGAGGCCTTCTGGTTCGTTTTGAATCCGCTCGCGACACATAAGCTGCCCGGACAAGTGGAATACTAAGCGAAGCGCGCGCAAGGCGCACAAGTCAGCATGCTTCCACGCAACGTGGGCTGGATGCGGGAGGGCTGGCTTCCACTCATCTAGTTGTAGATCTCGGGTTGGCCTGTGTCCCGTGCTTCGCAGAGCGCCTGAGTGCAATTGAATGCCTCTCCCATCCAGCCGCTTGTATGAGGTGTCGAGCAGGCCATCGCCTTTCTTGCAATCTTCTCCCTTGATGTGTACAATCTCACCAAATGTATGCTTTAGGCCCAGCCAGTGACCAGTCTCGTGAATGAGCGTGCTGCATCGGCGTTTGCCTGGCTCGAATTCGTCCAACACCTCCTACTCCATAACGATGCCGTCGAGTTTGCCCCATTCGTCGGCGTCCTTGGGGAATAGGGCGTATTGTTGCGGCGCGCGGGCCCAGGTCAGCGACCACGCTCTGATTGCAGTCTTCTGCGCAAGTCAAATCACCTACCCTGACAAGATTATTGACGCTGCTCTTGGGGTCGTTGGTGTCCAGGCGAGGCAGGATCCATACGTTCATGGAGATCTTGCTGCCTTGGTGCGTCTGGCGCTGCCAGCGCTGCAGCCGCTCGTTATATTTCTTGACCCTGGTCCAGTTGTTGTTGCTGCCGCTGGCTGGGGGTGACCCATTCTTGGGGGATTTGACAATAAAGGCCATGCCGAGTAGTCCTTAAACGGCCAGATTCTCTTCTATAGCTTAGCGTCGCACTCGGCCTTCGAGAACGGCGATTTCCCGAGCCTCTTTCTTGGTCATTATCGTGATGGGTCCGTTGTTTTCTTCCTCTAGGATATGTTCATCTGCAATCTCAGCAGGCAGATACGGCTCGGTCGAGTTGTCGAGCAATGCAGGATCCTCGACGAGGATGATTTCATCGTCATTATCATCCTCATCCGTAGCCGAGGGATTTTCCGACGCGCCCGTGGGCGTCCCCGAGGAGTTGATGCCGTCGGTTTCAGAAGAGGTGGCCAGTGATGTTTCCAACGTCTGGGTGTCTTCCTGCACTTCGCTTGATGGCTCGGTCAGCTCACTGGACGCCGTGCCCGGATTTGCTTGGACAATCTCGCCCGGTCTATCCCCTCTAGTTTCCGTGACCGGCCCGTCGGGGACAGGCGCAGAAACCTTAGGGACGGAGTTGGTGACAACGTCCAATGGCTGACCGACAGTGTCCGAACTCGGGGCGACGTCTTGGGCGAGGGCCAGCCTGGCACCCGATAGGGTCAAGGATATCGCCTTGTGGGCGGCGGACGTTCTCATGGTGAAGATGGTAGTGACGCAATAACATCGGAGAGCTGTGAAAGTCTGGGGTAGGGGCTATGACCCAGGCTTCTTATACACAGGCCGACACTGCTCCAAGTCAGAGATGGGACAGACACTGGGTTACCAGTCACAATCCAGCATGTAATCTGAAGAGCTAGATATTCAATAGTCTACTCGAAAAGGAAAGGCCAAAGTCCTTCAGCCTTGAGAACAGAGAGCACTGTACATCGCACGCACCACCAAGATGTTCAACTTGTGGGTATACGTACCCGTGTACGAGTACAGCTAGGACGTGATCCAGCCGCCATCTTGTACCGAACAGCCAAGGTCTCCATCTTGCCAGTTCAGCTCATGGAGCGATCTCGCAATAGGCTGTCCGTGACTGGACGTGGCCTTGGTGGTCACTGTCGACCATGCTCCCATGGCGCAGAGTGCCGGTCATGCCGACCTTGTTGTCGCCGCTCGTATCGAACGCGAGCAGCTTCTCTCGCAAGCGCCTGTGGCAGCCTGGCTGATGTTGTGTCGAGCCTCTACTGCGATACGCCTCCGCCGTAAAGAGGAGAGACCAAGGACTGTTCAGCATTGCCAACACAATGCGTAGAAGAGCGATGAAAGAGCGCCGCCAACACCAAGATAACCAGCAAGATTTGCGCTTCAGTCGTCTTCATCGCTGCACAGGTCAACTGGGTTCTGTGCCGACGAGCCTGCGCATTCTATGGAAGAATGACTTCATTCCAACTCAACCGGAACATTCATTGTCTCCGTGTCATTTCTCGCGACAGCTATCGCGCCACGGAGTTGCGATCTGAGTCCCCTCTCGTTGCTGGATTCTGGCACGTTGTCCTGGGCGCTGTCTTGATGACGGCGTAACATCCCACTCACGCCCGGCCGCGCATGGCTTTTATCTGAGACAGAGTCGGCGTAGCTCACGGTATACGTCCACGTGGTGAGGAGTTGGAGTGCCGTAATGAAGCAGACTAAGAGCCTACTCGGGGTCATAGCGAGGTTCAGAAAGAGAGAGAGGAACACCCCTATCCAGAGCTGGTATCGAGTGATAGCCGAGGCAAAAAGAGCTTTGGAGTTGTACCAATGGTAAGCCCGCGGACTGGGGCAGGCAAATTCCTTCCACTTCTTGGCTCGGTCCTCGGAGCTCGCTATGTCTGGCAAAGATCGCGCCTCGAGCTGATTAAGACGTGCCTCCCAGAATGGAAGGAGCTTGCCTTTGGCATCCCAGGGTTCGCTCTCGCAGAAGCGAGTCCAGCGCCACGTTACTGCTATTAGATGGCTCTCCGATACTCCCTTGAAGTATTCCTTATGGTTGATACCACAGTCGCATTCAAAGTTGTGTTTGTAGGGAGCCAGCTCTGCAAGGATGAGCTTTTCCGCCTTTTTATAGTATGGGCCTGGAACTTGGCCCGGGATCGTAATGTCCTTGACGACAAGTCCGCACTGTGAGTGTATCCGTTGTAGTCGTCTCTGTATAGAGTCTTTTGTTTCGCCGACCTTGAAGAACATATCACCGCTTTTGGCGGCATGATGTATAGAGAAGACATAATTAAAGCCCTTTTCGTCCTTCTTAAGGCCTTTCACGTCAAGTTCGCGGAGCCCTAGCGCTAGGTTCTTGTCGGCTGCGTTATATGTAATCACATGGGGAACAGTGGGGTGCCTCCGACGTGTAGATTTTGTTGGTATATTCGGTTCGGAGTGCGGCGCACGGAGTATGGTGAGTTGCGAAGGGCATGGCGTGCTTGGTGGTTGGGAGGCACCGCGCGCGCTTTGGGTGGTATCGTGTGCGGTTCCTTGAGGCAGGGGTTGTGCAGTGCCAGCCAGCGAGTTGGATATGGAGCCGGTCGACGTGGCTCGCGCCTTGGCCTTTTTCATTCGACGTAGCTGGGGTGTTCCAGGGCTTGTTGACGCGACTCTGCTGCGTCTCCTAGGGGGGCTCAAGTCGATGGAAATAGGACGGTCTGGTGATGTGCCAAGTGCATGAGTCTCTGCAGCAGTTGTTGTAGGCATGATAGTAGGTAAAATCAGTGTTGGCATAGCTATCAAGTGCGCGTGGATGGTGGGAAGCTGGAGTCCCTTTCGCCATGAGCGTGGACAGCTGTGTCCATAAGTACTCATTGACTACATTACGACTATGATGGTCTGTTCATGTCCAACAAGGTCTTTGGTGAAGCAAGTCGAAATATGCCCCTGGCGAACCCTGGGCCGGCCCCCATGAAATGCAACAGGCACAGCCCGTCGACGATGCGATTTGCCTGCGCTCGGGACACTCCTGATCGGGGATGTTTCCGGGGAACGGACGGAATGTAGAACCAGGCGGGCATAGTCCAGTCGCTCGGCATGAATGTTCTGTTGAGCCAAGGCTGTAGATGTCATGCGTGGCGGTTGATGACGTTGTTGATCGACTTTTCATTTCTCGGCTATTATACCGAGTACAGAGCGACGATCAGGAAGGGTCAGGGGACAACTCGGAGTCCAGAACGCCCGCCCAAGTCTGGATTTCCGGGATTTCATGCAGATTGTGTTTTAGAACTCGCTCCAAGGCTGAAGTGTGAGTGCGACTGAACCAGCAGCCCCCAAAAGTATTTGGAATAGCAGACTGCATGCAGACTGTTTGAGCGGCACAGATAGTCACGCGTCACTTTACCTACGTACTGTCACGCCAGGAACTAACAAAGGGGGAATGATCGCCGGCGTTCATTGCTATTTTCACCCATGCGCCATTGCTGGGCTAGAAGTGGAGCAAGTGTGGAGACGCGGACGGGAGAGTCATCCCTAAAGCTCCCCGTCTGGTCCCTGGTTAGCGTGGAGAAGGGTACTCGTGCCGCGCCCCACCACTCCTGGCGCCCGTGAGCTTTCTCGTCACCAAAACCGACTAGCTCTTCTATCTATATATAATCGTCTAGATACTAGAAGAAAAAGAATAAATATATAACGAAAGACCTGCTAATATAAGTATAAGGAAGCGAGCTAAATATCTCGCCTAGATCTAGCTATATAAGGCTTTTTTAGCGAAATCTCTCTAGGTATAACATTCGGGTTAGACTAGCTATAGGGTAGGTAGATCTAAGGTCGATTTATAAACTAAGTATTATAGGCTAGGCCCGGTTAGAATAACTTAGTAGCTTAGATTAAGTCTATCTAACGATAAGGTAGGAAAAGAGAAAGAAAAAGGGATTTATAGTCCCCCTTTCTTATAAAGACTTTATAAAGTCCGTGCGTCTCCGCGGGCACGCGTTACGTATCTAGGTCGACCGGGCTAAGTCTCGTACTTAGCCGCTAGTAATAGGTAAAACTATAATATTACCCCCCCCTAACTCTAGGCTAGCCTTCGGCTACCTATCGAGGTAGCCGCGGGGTGCCTTATTATTAAGAGTATATCCGAAGTTTTCGTACCCGCGAATTTATCCTCCGGGTAGATCCACGGCTCTTTATAGAAATAAGCGCGATATACTTATTTATAGTATATATACTTAGTAGCCTCGCGAAATAAAGCTAAGGTAAAGGTAGTATAAGCTAATATTAAATAAATCTAAGAGTAATTATAATAATATTAGGCTATATATGACGTTCGGGTCAGACTAGCTACAGGGTAGGTAGATCTAAGGTCGGTTTATGAACTAAGTACACTTAGGATATCGTTAACTTAAGCGGTCGGGTTATAGTCTTACGTACGAGATAGTAGATCTTGCGTAGATAATTATATTAATAGCTAAGGAGCTAGGTAGAGACTAACTATAGTAAAGCTAGGCTTCCTATATACTAAGTGAATATTATATAGTCGACGATAGTCGACTATCGTCTACGAGCGCCTTTATAGCGTAGTCGACTATAGTCGCTAGTCGCTTATAGTCGTCTATCCTACGTGGTATACGGGTAATATATAATAGGAGGAAAAAAGCGGGGGGCACGTAAGAGGCGTATACGGTCGTATATCGGGTCGTAATATAATATCTCCCTTTCCGAGATTTTATCCTAGAATTAGCTAAAACCCGTTAGCCGTCCTTCGTAAGTTATATTCGGTAACTTCTCCTTTTTATTATACCTAACCGTATATAGAAACGTCCTTTTTCTTATAAAAGAACTAACGACTTATATCGCGCTATCCTAATTAAAGCTATTTATCTTAACGGTTCTAAGAGCGAGATACCCTATACTCGTTATTATCGCGCTAAGCGTGTTTATCGTATAAGTAGTGATTCTTATTGTTATATATTGTATATCGAAATAAAGAAGACTTATAATAGTACTAACGTAGCGTCGCACCGTGAGTACTATATATGTTTTTCGTATATATACTAACCTGCGTTTTAGTAATGCGTGCGGTATCTAAGTAGAAATAAGTAGAAGCGGATTTAGAAAAATCCGAGAGGGAGCTCTAAGAGGCTCTAGGGCGCGTTTAGCGTCTTCGTCGCTAACGAGAACTACTTCGAAGTCGGACCTCGGAGTTAGTATCTCGTGGTATACGTGAGTTAGATAAGGAGGATAGGGTGCGTTCTTAGGAAGAAGCTATTCTTAAAGAGTAATAGGTAGTTAGGCGTGCTTAGGAGTTAGGTGCGTTTAGGGTTATCGATTAGAGCGTAATACCCGATATATTTCTTATTAAAGAGTAATACTCTTCTAGGCGCAGGGTAAGTGAATCGCGATAATCCGGGAATCCCTTTAGTAAAGGAAGAAAGCGACCGATTCAGCAATCTTCTCTTTAGGGTAGGCAAGATATAGGTGAAGAACTTAGTGAATGAATGACTTGATTCAGAACTATCTAGTAGTGAACGAGGGCCTATATTTATAGGCGTGAGAGCGCTGTAATGCCCTGTAAAAGAGTGGGTCAAACCGAACCTAGTAGAAGGTTATAGAAGGTTTGATTTGTAATAGCGAGTGTGGCAGTGCTAGCCTTCGAATATTATAGAAGGCAATAGAAGCACTATATTTGTAAGCACTGTGGACCCCTGTAATAGGTCCTGAATACATCCCTGTAAGGGTTCTGTGAGAGGGCCTCGTAAGGCACCTAATTAGGGGATTAGTCCCTTATTTTCAACATTTCCTTTTAATAATACTATCGCAATAGGTAGTAGTAATTCTTAAGGTATTTAGCGGGTTCTTATATATTTTCGCTACTTATATAGCCTTTTTATTTAATAAGGTATTTAACTTCTCTATTTATTATTTATTTATCGATAATTTATTCTAGTTCGTAGAGTTCTTCGAGGACTTCTAGTTCGTAGTTTATTTTTGCGTTTTATAGTGCTTTTTTAAGTAATAAGATATAAAAAACTAGGTATATTCTTATGCTTAAGGGTAGCGAAAGCTTATAGTTAGTATCTAAGATAACTTTATCGATTTTAAATAGTCTAAGCTTTTTATAATCGAGCTTTAGTAAGGGTCGAGTTATTATAAAATTTTTACGTAATAGGTAGACTATATCTCCCCTCCGAAAGATCGGTCCCTTCGATCTTTTCTTATTATAGTATTTCGATATTCGTATACGTACGAATTCGAGCTATCTTCTTATATATTTATATAATAAGCGTAGTTAGTCTACTTTAAGTATTACTTTTTTAATAAGAGGTCTATCCCTTAGTATTTTACTACCGAACTCGGGCTTATATCCGTAGTTCGTATAGAATAATAAGATTTAAGTTAATTCTATAGGTACGTGTGACGTTCGGGTCAGACTAACTATAGGGTAGGTAGATCTAAGGTCGGTTTATGAACTAAGTATACTAGGATATCGTTAACTTAAGCGGTCGGGTTATAGTCTATATACGAGATAGTAGATCTTACGTAGACAATTATATTAATAGCTAAGGAGCTAGTAGAGACTAACTATAGTAAAGCTAGGCTTCCTATATACTAAGGGGATTATTATATAGAGTAAATAATACCCGTGGATCATAAGGCTTATAAGATAAGTGCGATAATCCGGATCATAGTATTTTATAGATAATCTAAAGTAATTAGTATAAAATAGTAGGGCCTTGGTCGTACGAATAGGATTCGTGCGACCGGCATTCGTACGAACGATATTCGTACGAATATCGCTTATTTAAGCGGCCGGCATACCGCTTCATACTTTACTATATAAAGAATATAAATAGGTTCGTACGACGAAATTATAGGGCCTACGTAATATATATTAATAGCCGTATATTAGGTCGTAATATAATATCCCTCCTTCCGGGATTCTATCCTAGAATCAATTAAAACTATATTAGTCGCCGTAATATATATTCCTAGCTTCTCTTCTTCTCTTTTTACAATACGCTAACCAAAATGCCAGACCGCGTTACGAAAACTCGCAACTCTCGTTCCTAGAAAACCAAATAATGTAACGCTCTTCTCGAGGTCGTATTCCTAAATTCCGTGAAGATAAAGAGTACTTATTCTTCTTACGAAAAGAACGATCGTAAATATATTACTTCCGAGGAGGACTCTTCGCGCTGTTTTAAGTGCGTTTGTCTTAATCTTTCTTATTACGACGTTAAAGCGCTTTCGCTATAGTAATTACGCCGAATTACCGCGTAATATACCCGTTTTAAATCTAAGTTAGAAAAGGCGGAGGAGGCTCGTCGTGTAATAGATACTAAGGTAGAGCGTCTTCGAAAATAAAAGAAATTATAGTTTAAAAAGATAATACGAGCCGTGTCTCGTAGTATCGATAATATAGAGGAGCTAGAGCGTGTCGAGCGTAAGGAGGCCGAGCGCGAGAGTACTCGCTAATCGGAGGCCTCTATATCTAGCAATCCTATAGCTCGTTCTTCGATAGATAGTCTGATAACTCCGGATTTCCTAGAGAATTAGGAGGAGTACTTTAGCAATAGTCCCCCGGAGCCCTTACTTATAGAGGATTTTATTACGTCTGCCCTATAGCATGC